GTGAACTATGTGCCATGGATCCTGAACTGCAAGCTAGTGGCTGCCTGGGTACTGCTGGTTGTGGCTGGAGGACAGGTCCCTGGGCACAGCGGGTACCCACAGGGGCCAGTACTTCCTGTGGGCTCACTGGCTCCAGAAGCAGGATGTGTTGGGCAGAGTTGAATGGAGGTGGGAAAACCGTAGAAGGTGCTGCAGCAGGCTCTTTGCTCCAGTCTCTTCTGCCACAGGTCTCAGCCACTCTCGGCTGAGGGTGCTGCCCTGAACCAGAGCAGCCCGTCTACCCCTTCTTGAGGCCAAATGCCAAGAATGGCTGTTTTCGGAGCAGAAGAGGGAACAATCCTTTTTCTTGTGGCACCTGGTTATTATCTGCCAGCCCAAGGAAATACATTGGCACTGATGAGGCCACACCTGGAATCCTGTGTTCAGTTCTGGGTCCCTCACTACAGGAGAGATATTGAGGTGCTGGAGTGGGTGCAGAGAAGGGCAACAGAGCTGGTGTAGGGCCTGGAGCACAAGTGTGATGGGGAAGGGCTGAGGGACCTGGGGGGTTCAGTCTGGAGAAGAGAAGGCTCAGGGGGACCTCATCGCTGCCTACAACTGCCTGACAGGAGGTTGTAGTGAGGTGGGGTTGGTCTCTGCTCCCAAGTAACAAGGGACAGGACAAGAGGAAATAGCCTCAAGCCGCACCAGGGGAGGTTTAGATTGAACATTAAGAACAATTTCTCCACCAAGAGTCAGGCATTGGAACAGGCTGCCCAGGGTAGTGCTGGAGTCACTGTCCCTGAAAGTGTTCACAAACAGTGCAGATGAGGCCCTCAGTGATACCGGTTAGTGTGGACTTGGCAGTGCTGGGGAACGGTTGGACTTGATGATCTTAAAAGGGCTTTTCCAACCTGGTTGATTCTAGGATCCTTTGGACAGGAGGCAGCCTGAAAGTCTACCATGGGCTGCCAGCCTTGTGCAAATCTGGGAAGAAGCTGCGAGTCACAAACAGCAGCATCTGAAATTGTCCTCTGCCGTCATTTGCCATTCTGCAGTTTGACAGCCTGACTGCCATGGCAGGAGGAGCTAAACCCTTCATCCTGGCACAGATACCACCCCGGGCAAAGTGTAATGTGCCCACCGCTTCTTGTCTCTGATTGCAACCCTCTAACAAGGACACGTCGCACACCAGCACAACCTCCTCAGCACCAAGCAGTGCTCGCAAGCACCCTCTCCTGAGACCTGGGTACCAAAGCGCTGCTGCACAGCAGAGGTGGTCCCCAGCACCCAGCAGTTCCTACTCACCACACCCTGTAGTGTGCTGACTGTGTGTCTCCTCTTTCCCAGATGCGTTTTGCAGCCGACCCGATGGAGGAAGCGCTGCACTTTTTCCAGTGCCTCCAGTCTACCGATCCGTTTCTCGATGACAGCGAGAATCCTGTCAAGAGACAGGAAAGCAGCTGAGAAGGAGATGCTCTATCTTGCCCATTTCCTCCTCTGCCATTCCCATCATCCTGCTCCTGGTTGCTTTGCTCTGGCAAATCCCAGCTGCCTGCCCAAGGCTCCAAACACAAACTGCACCAATGTGTTCACAGCCTTCCACGAGTGAGGTTTGTTCACTTTCTCTCAGGGACCACGGGCCCCCTTCAAGAGCGAGTGTTACTTGGCCTTTTCTTACCTCTCTCTCCTTGCCCTCTCACCACTTGGCAACCTCTTTCTTTGCTCGTGCACCAGCCACTCTCGCAGCTGAGAAACATGCAGCTCATCTGGCAGGTCAGCAGCACCCTTTAATTTGTCCACTTCTTGCCAAAGCTTGTGCTGAAAGGTGACACACGTTGTGACTTACTGTTGCTGGACAAGTGTTCATGCCTCTGCATGCTGAGGTATCCCATGGGCTCAGGACAGTGCTCTGCTTCAGCCACGCAACCAGGGCAGAAGAGAAATGCTTCCCTCGGGACCCTGCATGTTCGTACAGACCCTTCCTGCCCATGCCCAGCCCCGCACCAGCTCAGGTAGCAGCAACACCCAGGTAGGAAGCAGCCACACACCAGCTCAGATAACAGCACAGCCCTCACCTCTCCTGCACTGGCTACCTCCCCAGGATGCCATAAGCCCTTGTCACCATACCACTGACCCGTGTCCATGAACACTGCGCTTTGCCTACCTCCTCTCTCCTGAACATGTTCTCTGCATCCACCTTGAGCCTGACCAGGTGCTGCCTGTACTCATTGAACTGCTTCAAAGTGCAAACCACCTATGGAAAGATGAGGGCAGAAATCCCTCAGGAATTGTCAGGCCAGCTACTTCTGCTCCCAGGGACGTGAGCCCCACAGCCCTGTGCCATCCACCAGCAAGCAGTGGCTGCAGCAAGTGCTCTGGGAACCCCGCTTGATAGGGACTCTTTTTAACAGCCCAAAGTCCAAACCTACTCTGCCATCATAGGTGATGGAACCCTCTCTCTTCAGCATCTGCAGGTGGTCCTTGCGATGGTGGTAGGCCTGCAGATGTGGGTCATGCAGGCTGTTGTATTCCATGCTCAGCAGGCGGCAGTAGGGATCTTCCAGATTGAAAAAACCTGAAGACTGGAAAAGCTGCAAGAGAGGTTTTCCAAAGCATGAAGAAGGGAGGAGAGAGCAGCAAAGAAGTGCCAACGGCTCTGCACCAGGGAGCCAGGAGCTTCCCTCTACCCCCAAGCACTGTCAGACTGAAGGGCTACAGTGCCCACTGCAGAGCAGGTGGCCACAAGGACTTCTTTGAATGACAGGGACCCCATAAAAAAGGAGAGCTTTCCAAACCCTTCCCATTTCCTTTACCTTTCCCCCTAGTACTGCCCTGCAGAAGACAGGCTTGGTGCCGGGGTACACAGGGATCTTGGCCCCGAGCGGCAGATCCAGCAGCTGAGCATGTCCTTCTGCCAGTAACAGTCTCCTGCTCCTGAGCTAAAAAGAGGGAGGCATCAGACATTACCTCCATAAACCTCCCACCCCGATGGCAGTTGCCAGAAAGGCTCTCAGAAGACTCCAACCAAGGGGAGTACCAAGAGCAGCCCAATCAAAAGCTGCTCTCTGCTTCCTCACAGCTCCCATCCCTTCCTCAGCACCTCCTGCCTGCTTAGTCACAAACTGGGCTGAGCAGAGGCAAGAACCCCTGAAAACCCTTCCCAACCACTCTTGGACCCCTCCCAGCTCCCCAAGCACATCAGAAAGCCTTAGAGCAGCCTCACGTCCCAGGCTGCTGGGCCAAGTCCTCACCATCAGCTTGTTGCTCCTCTCTGCCTGCTTCCCCTCTGTGCTGGGCTGCATGTCTGTGCCTCCATGGCCAGCAGCGGGAGGGTGCTCCATGGCTATTCCAAGTGTTTTCCTGGGGCTGTAACCCTGCGCTGGCACATCTCACTCCAGAGGCACCCAGTGGCAGCCACCACAGATGCTGCTATGTAAAGAAGTTGCCCATTGTTGCATTGATGCGTTGCCATGTCACTGCCCGGCTGCGCCAGGGCCTGCCTGAAGCCCATCTGGCCATGCATTTGGGACGCCCATTCATGTGCATGTGAATAGCATGAAACAGCACGAGAATAAAGAGTGGTCCTGCTCGGACAGGAGGCATTGGACCAACTGTAGACAGGGGCTGCTTTAGAAGCTGCGGGAGTGCCTGCAGTGCCCCCTGGCCCGAGTATATGCAGTTTCCCACGCAGGCACTGAAGAGCTGCATTTGTAGAGAAACTCAATCAAAACGGGTAGAGGCTCTACCATCAGCATGTGGGAATTAAGGCAATGCCCAAACCCAGGTCATAAATGAACTCCTGAGATTTTATTGGGAAGATCAGATGGAGTTCCAGGACTCTTTGTTCCAGCACACACACGCCTTTTGCCTTTCGGCAGGGGACAAAGCAGATAGCTGTGGGGAGTGAAGGATGCCATAGGTAGCCAGTGTGTCTGATACCTACACAACAGCCTGGGGGACCAAGTCATTCTTGGACTCTCCCAGGAGGTAGCAGGCAGCGCCTGACATTCTGCATGGGTACAGAGTGGTTCCTCTCCACCATGCTTTGCCTTCCCCCCCGTGTCCTTCTGCTGCCCCGTCCCTCTCACACATTCCTTCCGCTCTGGCAGGACTCCTCCACAGGCCACAGGCTGTAGACCTCAGAGGTACCATTGCTGCTGTCATGGAGCACCTCTGGGCCACAGTGTGTCCCCATCAGTGTCCCTTTCCATGGGTCATGCTCCCCAGACTACTGCTGGCTCTATCACTACTGGCAATCATGGGAATACAGTTGGAGTTGATGATCTTACAGGTCTTTTCCAACCTAGTTGATTCTACGATTACCAGCACCCACATGGACCACTAGAAGCAGGTAGTAGTCAGTGGGACTTACTAAACTGGGCAGCCTCTTGGCAACATGTCTGATCCAAGCTCAGGGTAGGCATCACAGCTCCCTTGAGTGGGTCAGGCTGACAGATGGGTGCCTCTGTACCTTTCAAAGTAGAGTCACCCACTACTACCACCCACTGCCTTTTTTTGGAAGCCCTGGTAGCTCTCTTTATTGGTGGGGCAATCGGCTGTTGTTCCGTTGTGGCAGGTAACACCCTGTTAGCCCCCTTGCAGAGCTGTGAAGCGGTTCCGGGTGGGCATGTCAGGCTTTGGAGGAAGCCCCTTGCTTTTATTTGTCCTCCTCCTCCTCCTTTTGTTGTTTATTTCAGTTACAGGTTCCCAACCCCCTGGATTAATGCGCTCCCTCCTTTCTGTGTGTACCGGGGGGGGACGTCTGTGGGCTCTGTGCAGTGGTCCCTCCCAGTTTGGCCTTGGAGAAAGCAATGCAGCCCCCTCCCAGCCTCCCTGATGGCCCTCAGTCTTCTGACTGCCTACTGCAGCTCAGCCATGTCTTGCTGCATCATGGCCTCTGTGCCCACCCAAACTGCAGCGTTTGCCCCATTTGCCTGCTCAAACTGCAGTGTTTGTCCTGTTTGCCTACTCAAATTGCCTTGCCATGCTTTCTGGACAGCGTTTTATCCTCTTGGAGGTGGTGCTTTTCCTGCTCCTGTGCAAGTTCTGACATGGACTTTAGCTCCTTTTGTGTCTCTTTCCATTCAGCAGAGACTCCTGGCCACTGTTTTCCCCAGCTCCAGTGCTGGAGGCAGGGGCTGCCTTGGAAACACTGAGAGGCGAGGGTGCCCACGGTACTCCCTGGCCTGTGTATATTCAGTTTCCCACACATGCACTGAAGACCTTGTTGTGACTCTGGAGGTACAATCCTGGGCCTGCTGAAGGCTTTCTGCTGCCCTCTGGGCACCTTGCTCAGCGCCTTGCAGGAGGGATGGGAGGAGAGTACCTGAGCTCCCCCGTTTCAATTGTCCCTGCTTCCTTTGATGTGACTGGCACAGGGAGGCTGAGCAGTGGCAGGACCTTCCCTGGCTGCAATTCTCTTTGTTGCTTGGATTTTCTTTCTTCCTCTAATACCTTTCTTCATGGTTTCCAGAACTTCAAGGACAATGGTCCTGGCATATTCGATCAGTTCTGCATCCGCTGCTCAACTCTGGAAACAGCCTTTTGAGTGCTCTCCTTGGCAGTCTCACACCTCACTTGTGAAACAGCAGTGTTTTGCAGTGGTTGCAACACAGGCAGCTTTGCTCTCTTCCTTTGCTCTCCTGAAGAAAGCAGAGGAGCAGCAGGACATCACTGCAAGGAGATCTCTGCTAAGAGCCTGTGCAGTGTTTTGGAGAAATAAGTGTATTGAAAAAATAAAACCAGACACAAAGTCTTTGCATACAGTACAGAGACTGCAGACATAGGAACATCCTGATGGGGAAGGCTGTGTGGAGACTGACGAGGCAGGCTATCATGGAGTGCTTTGGAAAAAGGAGGAAATTTTACCTGCTCATTGGGTTCGTCCTGCTTTTCCAGGCCTACAACTGACCCCATCCACATAAGCCAGCACCAGTTTTGTCCCACCACTGCTTCTGCTGGGCAATCTGCTGTGAACACTGAACTTACTTTGGGACTCATGCCTTGAACAAAGCCCCCTGCCACAGTTCACCTGCTACAGCAGGTCCCCAACTTGGCTGCTACGGAGGCCTTTTGCTGTATGCTCGTCACGTTAACTCAGGTCATCACTTGTGCCAGATCTGGCTGTTGAGTGCAACAGCTGTCTCTCAGGAGACTGATGGTCCAGAGGTATTAGTGCCAAGCTAAGGTTCAGAGACTGACCCAGCTTTTGAGTCTCTGCCTCCAGAACAGCAGCTTTGGGCTCCCTGAGCACCGCTGCTAAGGAGTAAGACAGCTCTTGGTGAAGGTCCGACAGCTCCTGGCTGGTCTTTGCACAACACTCAATATAGTCCTGCTTGTATTTTCGTTCTTGTGCCAGCTGTGTCTGTAGAAGGGAAACCTGAAAGAGGCAAAAGGCTGAGCTCAGACAAGCCCACAGTGTCTGGACCATCCATAGCTGCTTAATACCGGCTGTCAGGAAGATGCACCCTCTAATTCCAGCCCTGACACTCTGTCCTTGTGGAATGGGAAGTAACAGGTTCCCAGAGTCGCCGTGCACTGAACTGAGATTATCAACAATTCTGAGTTTCTGGCTGGCATTCCATCCACATGTATGACACCGACACATTATATGTGTATTAAAGAGGAAGGTTCCTACAGGATTTAGTAATCAAGCTCTCTTTTTTCAACAGAGAGATCTGGGCTACTGACACTTTAGCGCCACAAGCTGCTTCCTCAGTGGGAGTGCTACCGGTTACACAAGGTACTGAAGATCTGTGCTGTTATGAACAAGTCTAAAACAAGGCTGCGTTATGAGCAAGCTTAAAAGCCTGACAGCTAACACACAGAAAGGGAGCAAACCCATTTTTCCTAATTAAAGCATTTCACAAATGAGCAGAGCATAATGTGATGAACAAAGCCCAGGAGGAAAATGATCCTCAAAGGACTGCCGAGGCCTTGAAACTCCTCAAACTCAATTAATTTCTGGCAACACAGGGCTGTGCCTGCTGTCATTTTAGTGGGAGAGACCCACAGCTCTTATGGGCTGTTAGGTTGGCACTGCAGTGCCAGCAGCTCTGGCATGTTGCCCTCTGACTGCTTGGGAGTGGAGGAGATGCACACAGAAAGTAAGACAAAGGGATTTCTTACAAAAAACAATATGCATTGGTTAGGGAATGCCCCCACTGAAGGGAGGGACAGATCTGAGCCTCCTTCTGAAACAGTAAGGGCACCTTTGGGAAACTGGGCTTGAAAAACCCTCCCATGGGAAGGCAACCCAGAGTATGAATGGGAGAAGTGGCCACCTGCTGCAAAGAGCATCCCCCAGGAAGCGGGAGATAAAGTTCCCGTTCTGCTGCTTCCCAGAGCCAGAGGAGTGCCCTGAGTAACCAGCTGAGGACTATTTTTGGAGCAGAGCACCTCACTTTTCCTGCTGAACTGCTGAAGCAGGTCCATAGTGCAGGCAGGCACAGCAGCCACAAGGGGAAGGAGCTTCAGATCATTTTCTGTAGCAACAGAACTTCAGACACTGAGGCTTCCTGGTGCAAAGGAATATATCTTTATCTCATTAAGATATACCTCGATGGCTACAGCAGTGTTCTTGGCTCACTCGCCAGATCTAAGCATCACACACTCTACTCACACAAGTCTTACATACATTTTGCTCTGACCACCTGCGAAGGTTCACCTCCTCGGGGAGACCAGGGTGTAACAGCCCCGGAAAAGTACATGGAAGAGAAGTCTGGTGGCTGCTGCTACTGCCAGTACCACTGTCAAAGGATGCAATAGGGTTCAGTACCTGGAATGCACATTCTTACACAGATAAAACAAATGTCCCTCCAATGCTTAGGTCTCTGACTCCATCCAATACTGGGATAGTGATTAGCACAGAATAGCAATACAAGACTAATGACTGCCTGAAGGCTATAAGCTCTGGCACTGCCTCATTTCCCTAAAGCTCTGATAAGATGCAAGTTGCACTGTTAATTGAGCCAAGAGAAAACAGGAAGAGTCAGCAACATGAGTAAGACTCAGTGGGAAAGTCATAGAATGACTATGGTTGGAAGAGACCTTAAAAACCTTCCAGTTCCAACCCCCTGCCATGGGCAGGGACACCTTCCACTGGAGCAGCTTGCTCCAAGCCCCTGTGTCCAACCTGGCCTTGAACACTGCCAGGGATGGGGCAGCCACAGCTTCTCTGGGCACCCTGTGCCAGTGTCTCACCATGCTCACAGGGAAGAACTTCCTAATGTCTAATCTAAATCTTCCCTCTGGCAGCTTAAAGCCACCACCCCTTGTCCTATCCTTATATGCCCTTGTAAAAAATCCCTCTCCAGATTTCTTGTAGGCTCCCTTTAGGTATTAGAAGACTGCTACAGAGTCTCTCCAGAGCCCTCTCTTCTCCAGGCTGAACAGTCCAAACTCTCTCAGCCTGTCTACACAGGAGAGATGCTCCAGCCCTTGGAGCATCTTTGTGGCCCTCCTTTACATCCTTGGAACATTCTCTATTTTCTGTCAAGTTCCAGTCTTATGAATCTCCTCTCATCCCTTTCCCACCCTGCCTGACCTTTAGGCAAGTCAGAGACTAGACCTAGGTGAATGATGCTGTCTGGCCATGGCCAGCAGATATCTGACTGGGTATTTCCACTGCCCAGTGTAATCACTTCCTGCCAGCCAAGCAAAACTCGGGATGTAGCATCATGCAAAGTTGTGCCCATCAGTACAGCAGCCATAGCAGCTGCTGCTGAAAGCTTTCCTACTCCTCACCTGGTTCTGCAACTCAGTTAACTGACGACTGCAGTGCGCATGAGACTCCTCCTGTGAAGGGAACACAAGGATTTCTTTTTAGTCTCCCGCTTGACCAGGGCCATTGTCTATATTTAACTCCTACCAGGTCTGCCACTGGGATTTGCAATCATTCCCCTATATGGCCATAGCCTCTTCCCACCAAGTGAGACCCTGTTCTCACCTGTTTTGAAGCTGGCATCTTGTGCTTGTCAGATGGCAGCGACCCATCACGGTAAAACCTCCTCAGCCTCCTCCGTTCACACTCCACCTGCACGTTGGATAGGAGAAAGGGTCAGAGAAACCTGCCACCAAACAAGGAGCAAAAGGGCCTCTGGACATCATGGCAAGGAGGTTTCCACTCAGAGACTGTTAATTGCATGAGGGAACATTAGGGGCAAAAAGCTACTTGAAACAGACTATAGAAGAGAAAGCACGAGAGGACGCTCTCCAGTGGACCACGAGGCTTAGCATAGGCAGAGAAAGCCTGTTTTACCTGCTCAAGAGTCTTCCTGAGCTCTGCGTTGAGTTGCTTCAGCTCAGTCTTCTCAACTTCCAGCCTTGCAACTTGCTGCTGCAGACGTTCCAGCCGCTGTGACAGGAGCCTCTTCTCTGAGAGCCATGATTGCTGCTCTCCTTCTGCAACAGCCTGGTGAGGAGATTCAGAGGAGATTATGTGAGCTGGTGCCACATGAAGGTCAGAAAGTTGTTACAATCAGCAAGCTGGGGAGAGTGACAGGACTCAGAAATGGACAGTGCTAAGTCCCTTCTCCTCCTCCTGGTCCACAGGCCAAAACAACATACACTCTTCCTAGGAGCCTTCCTCCAGATCACCTCAGTGAAATGGAGTTGTTTGCTCTGCTGATACATATACAGTGCTATAAGTAGTCTTGATATCAGCACTGTAATGATCTATATGGATGCCACTGAAATCTCCCACGGTTTTCACATTTCTTGCCCTTGTAACTTCTCTGCTTCAACAGAGAAGAAATTCACTTCTCTATCAATAGATCCCAGTACCTGTAATCATCCTGATTAAACTCATAGTAATATTTACCAACTAATGTATAAAGCCTTTTATTAGTAGCATGTTTTATATGATCGTATAGTAACATAATGCTAAAAGTATTGGCAGTCCCAGGCAAGTGTGCAGCACAGGCTGTTGCAGCAGTTCCACTGGCAGTACCTAGGTCAGATCATCCTGGAGAAATCCACACTGATTTGCCTTCCTGCATTTTGGACTGTGCCCCAAGTACACCCTGAATGTGCAATGAAGCCTTTAACCTGACCTGGCAATGGTATGAATTCCATTGGTTTCAATACATGGGACAACCTGTACCTCAGATATCGACAACTCTGAAAGCATCCTAGAATCATAGAATCAAAGAATAGATAGGGTTGGAAAGGACTTTACCATCCTCCAGTTCCAACCCCCCTGCCATGGGCAGGGACACCTCACACTAAACCCTGCCAACCAAGGCTCTGTCCAACCTGGCCTTGAACACCGAGAGGGATGGAGCATTCACAGCATCCCTGGGCAACCCATTCCAGTGCCTCACCACCCTCACAGTAAAGAACTTCTTCCTTATATGCAATCTAAACTTCCCCTGTTTAACTTTGAATCCGTTACCCCTTGTCCTAGCACTATAGTTCCTAGTGAAGAGTCCCCCTCCAGCAGCCCTAGAGCCCCCCTTCAGATACGTTTCTTCCCGTTCCTACTGCCCTGTTCCCTGCCCTGTGGCAGAGTCCCGCTCTCCCCAGCGTGTGGCAAACACAATGACCATCAGTAGCCTCACTGAAATGACCTTGTGCTGCCTGTTTCCAGGGCTGGTCGACAGGGAAGTTTTCACGCTGTTGGATGTTTTCTGTAGAAGAGTTCCAGTTTTCGTTGAAGATTGTTGCTGTTTTAAGAAGATTGTTCGTTTTTCACATAGGACTTGTAGGTTTAGGTAGAATAGGTGTAGGTTTAGGAATAAGCATTGTTCTTTTAGGTAGAATAGGTGTAGTTTTAGGTAGAAGAGTTGCATTTGTGAGAAGAACGGTTGTTCTTTGTCGTTTATTTTGTTTTTGTTGTTTTGTAAATACATTTCTTGACGTTCTCCTGACCCAGTCTCTCTTTGTATTCACTGCGATCACATGTGGCTTTGGCAGACAAGTGGTTTTCAGTTGCTCTGAGCTCCCAGGGCTGGAGGGGCCATGGGGGCTGGCGCTGGGTGCTGGGGCACCCCAAGTGTCCTCACGTGGGCTCCCTGCCCTGGCAGAGCGGCTCTTTCAGGCTCTCTGCAGCTGTGGGCAGGGATGGGCACGGGCCAGGCACCAGAGGTGAGGGTGCTCACACCGACTACTTGGTGGCTGCAGGGCACCTGGTCTGGTGCTGCCATCGGGCACAGCCCGGGCCAGCGCTGACCAAAGCTTCTCGGGCTGCTCCTCAAGCTGGGGGAAACACGGCCACGTACAAGGCATCAGTCATGGAACCCCAGAATCACGGCGTGCCCAGGCTCGCGTCACTGCGGGGAGCAGCCTGCGCCCGGCATCCTCTTGGATGCTGCTGCTGCCCAAACCAAGCCTTTTCCCCCCTTCTGTCCCTTCCTCTCACTGAGTCCCTCGGTCCCCATCCCACACGCTGGGAAGAGGGTCTGGGGCTGGAGCTGCTTTGGGATACCAGGTGTTGGCGGCTGCAGCTGGAGCCATGGTCACCTGCCAGTGCTGTCATGTGGGACCCTGCAAGCGGGCAGGGAGGGGGAGCGGCCAGCAGGAGAGTGGCAGCTGGGTGCAGGGGGAGCTGCTGCGTGCTCATGCTCATTTTCTCATCCACCAGCACCCCCAAGTCCTTCTGCGCAGGGCTGCTCTCAATCTCTTCTCTGCCCAACCTGTAGCTGTGCCTGGGATTGCTCCGACCCAGGTGTAGGACCTTGCACTTGGCATGGTTAAACCTCATCAGCCCGCCTCACAAGCGTGTCGAGGTCCCTCTGGATGGCATTCCTTCCCTCCAGGGCATCAACCCAACCACACAGCTTGGTGTCATCGGCAAACTTGCTGAGGGCGCACTCAATCCCACTGTCCATGTCAGCAACAAAGATGTTGAACAAGACCGGTCCCAGCACCCATCCCTGAGGGACACCACTGGTCTCCAGCCGAGAGATGGTCCTCTAAGCACCAGCAACATAACTGCTCAGCAGCCATTAGCACCCAATTGTAAGTTTAGCACATCAGTCTGGTCAAATGAGCCCTTCCCTTTCCATGCCAAATCCTAAACACAACGTGTTGCCTAAGCTTGCCTAATAAGAGAGAACCAAATACCCATCCCCAGCTTTCACATTTGAGTTAATTTTAACAGCAAGCTCCCTTTTTGGCTAAGCAGATAGTATGCTCATGGGGATGTATATTCTCGTCTATTTACGGGAAACATCATTAGAATCCTTTCTAGATGTTTTAGTTGACTGATGAACAATCATAGTGCCTACCTGGTGATGAAACCGGTCCGTGTCCCTCTCCGAAACCGCAGTCTGAAGGATGGCTATTTCTTTCCTCAAAGTCCCATTGGCCAATTCACACTTCCTAAGGGCAAGGGTCAGGGCTTGTGCTTTCTCCTTCCATTCAATTTCTCCACTTTCAGTCTGCTTCAAAATAGCAATCACACGCTCCAATTCTTTCCCCTTTGCCTTCCTTTCATCTTCCAGTTGCCGGGTTAGCTCCTTCTGCCTTTGCAAGGAATGGTCTCTCTCTTGGAGCACTCTCTTCTTCTCTGTTTCCACTTCCTCCCACTTTTGGAGCTTTTGGATTAGTTTCTTTAGGGTGTCCCCTTCATCTCTCCATTGCAAAACTGATGTGAATTGTTTTAGGAGTTCGCTTTGCCTCTGAAGCTCTTGTTCTTTTCCTGTCAGAGTCTTCTCTAAATTCCTGACTCTGTTTTGCTGGGACTTTATCTCTTCCTCCTTCTTTGTCAGAGTCTGCTGAACATGCTGGAGATCTTCCTGAAGAGCTCTTACTTCCTTTTCTAACTCTTTTTGCTCACTGTGATCCTTGGTTTCTCGCTCCCTCTCACACAAGATGTCTTCCAGGACCTTCTCTTGCTCTTGGTGATGTCTAACCGCCTCGTTGCTCACAGTTAGCCTAAACTGGAGATTCTGCAAGGTCTTTAATTCCTCTTCTTGGTGCTGGAGTTTTTGTTTCAGAGCTTCATTGTCTCCATCCCTCTTCCTCACCACTTCCTCAAGCAGATTCACTTGCTTCTGGCATGATGTTAGTGCTATTTTCATGCTTTCACCCTGAAGCTGTAACATGCTCATTTGCTCTGTCTGCTTGAGGAACTCCAAACGCTTCTCCTTCAACATCCTGCTCATTTCTTCTAGATCCTGCTCTAGACTCTTGGCTTGCTTGCCTTCTAACTCCTTCTGCTCCTGAAGGTCCTGCACACGCTCCTGCAAAGACATTATCTCTTGATCTTTAGCTTCTAGAGAAGATTCAGCATGTTCTAGGTTTTGCAGTACGGCTTTAGCCTGCATTGCTGCCTCCTCCTTTTGCCGCTGAAGCTCAGAGACAGCCTCCTCCAGAACCCCTATCCTTTTTTCTCTTTCTTTCAGAGTCAGTTCTGTAGCTTGAAGATTTGTGTGCTCAGCTTCAAGTTTTTCCTCCTTTTCCCTGCATGCCTCACATTCCTTTCTAAGGGATAAAATTTCTTGTTCCTTTTCCTTCAGTGCCACTTCAAGATGGTGCAGAATTTTTCTCTGCTGTTCAGAGTCTTGTTCCTGTTTTTGGAAGGTCTCAATCACTTCCTTCTGAGATTCAATCATGAAATCCTTATCTTTCAGTATTGCCTTTGTGTATTCTAAGTCTCTGTGTAAGACATTCATCTTTTCTTCTGTTTTTTCCTCATAGCTCCTCGTTTGTTGCTTTTGGATGTCTATGAGTCGGTCCTTTTCTTTTAAGGTTTCTAAGGTCTGGTCCAGTTGGTCACGGAGAGTCCTCAACTGCATTTCCATGGTTTCTTCAGCTTCCTGGATTTGTTTTTGTTGTGACTCAAGCTCTTGATCCTTCTTAGATAAAGAAAGTGCCATCTTTTCCACTTTACCATGAAGCTCTTGAAGTTGCCCCTCTTGCTGCTCCTTGTACTGCTGCAAGAGTCTTAACTGATCCCTTTGAGAATCACACTCACTCTCTCTGTCACTGAGACCTGCCCTCAGGTGTTCAAGGCTTGCCTGCAGAGATTTCACCTGTTCTCTGTGCATTTCCAGTTCTTGGATTTGCTGAGTCAGAGACACAAGCTCTGAGTTTTTCTCCTTCAAGTTTCCTTTCATATGATCAAGATCCAGAAGCAGATTTCTCACTTGTGATGCACCGTGTTGTTCTAGCATCTTTATTTTCCCTTCCTGGAATTTGATCTCCTGATCCCTCTCCTCCAGCTCTTTGCTCACCTTGCTGACAGCAGCCCTCTGCATTTCTTGATGCTTCTCCAGCTCCTGTATCTGCTCTTGCTGAGACCTGATCTCCTGCTCTCTCTCCTGCAGCTCTATACTCATCTTGCTGACAGCAGTCCTCTGCATTTCTCGCTGCTTCTCCAGCTCCTGTATCTGCTCTTGCTGCGACCTGATCTCCTGCTCTCTCTCCTGCAGCTCTATACTCATCTTGCTGACAGCAGTCCTCTGCATTTCTCGCTGCTTCTCCAGCTCCTGTATCTGCTCTTGCTGAGACCTGATCTCCTGTTCTCTCTCCCGTAGCTCTTTGCCCACCTTGCTGACAGCAGCCCTCTGCATTTCTTGCTGCTTCTCCAGCTCCTGTATCTGCTCTTGTTGGGACCTGATCTCCAGGTCCCTCTCCTCCAGCTCCTTTCTCATCTCAGTCCTCTGCATTTCTTGCTGCTTCTCCAGCTCCTGGATCTGCTCTTGCTGAGACCTGATCTCCTGCTCTCTCTCCTGCAGCTCTATGCTCATCTTGTTGACAGCAGTCCTCTCCAGTTCTTGCTGCTTCTCCAGCTCCTGGATCTGCTCTTGCTGGGACCTGATCTCCTGCTCTCTCTCCTGCAGCTCTTTGCCCATCTTTCTCACCTCAGTCCTCTGCATTTCTTGCTGCTTCTCCAGCTCCTGTATCTGCTCTTGTTGGGACCTGATTTCCTGCTCTCTCTCCCGTAGCTCTTTGCCCACCTTGCTGACAGCAATCCTCTCCAGTTCTCGCTGCTTCTCCATCTCCCATATCTGCTCTTGCTGGGATCTGATCTCCTGGTCTCTCTCCTCCAGTTCTTTGCTCACCTTGCTGACAGCAATCCTTTGTTTTTCTTGCTGCTTCTCCAGCTCCTGTATATGTTCTTGCTGGGATGCCACCTTCTGTTTTTTCTCTGTTATGTCCTTAATAAACTGATCAAGAGTAGCTTTATGCACTTCTTCCTGGTTTTCCAGCATTCTCATCTGTTCCTGGTATAACTTCATTTCTCCCTCCCTCTCTGACAGGATGGCAGTCATATGAGCGAGGGTCTCCTGCAAAGCTTTTATCTCCGATGCCTCTTTCTGGAGCATCTGGATTTTCTCCCGCTGGGTTTCCACTTCCTCATTTTTAATTTTTAAGAGGGACAACGTGGTTTGAAGCTCTTGCTCAAGGCAGTGATTCGTGTCTGTTGCTGTGTTTGCTCGAGCTTCAGAGGCTGACACTGATTCCTGAAGAAGTTTCACCTCTCCTGCCAGTTTCTCTTTAACTGCATGTAGTCTGTCCCGTTCGTGCTGCAAAACAGGGAGAAAAAGGCTCAATAATTCCATTGCTGTGTCTTTTCATACTGGATTTGACTCCTGCTCTAGTGGCAGTCAAGGGCTGCCTGCTCTCTCCCTGCCTCTTGAGATGCTGTGCCACCCTATACATTGCATCTTTCCCAGATGACTCAGCCAGTTCCACCTTCCTTTTTGCCCTTCCCTGAACCTAGCTCCAGTGTGTTCTCTTGGGGAGGAGCTGCCAGAACTGCAGCCAGGATTTAAGGTCCAGATTAAGCACGATTTAGGCAGTGGCTCGATGATGCCACTCTATTAGGAATAAAAAAGAGAACACTTCATTTCCCTTTTTATTATTTGTTTGAACCTCTATTGTGCAGAATTGTCATGGGTTCATCCTCTAGAACCCCACTGTCCTCTCTTGAAGGAGTAATAGATCAGTGTCCGTCATTCTGTGTTTGAAACCAGGTCTAGTTTTCCCCTTGCAGACATATATATTTAGCTGGATCAGCATTCCGGTTTCTCAAATTTGTCTCCTTTCTCCCCACTGTCTGCTCTCAGATGGGTAACACTGAACAGTTTTCTCTATGAGCAGACTTTGTCTTCTCACCCTTTTCCAGATCAGTATTTAGAAATCTACATCTGCATTTGGACACAGCATGACCTGTAAATAGAGGTAAGTTTGAAAATTATTTTCACTAAAGCTTCAAGGCAAAAGTCTTCAGAATTGAGGAAAAGAAGCACCCTGAATCATAACTGGGGTTTTATGTGACTGCAGCATCTTTTCCTACTTATTCAGAAGGATGCAACTGGGAAAATTAAACTGAAAAACTTGCTCTTTTAGAATTCTTAACAGAAGGCCAAAGAAATGTAAGAAACGGCCTTTCGCAGCATCTGCCAGCCTCACCAGGACATCCTTTCTTTGCTCCTCAGCGCTCTCAAGTTTCCTTTCCAAAGATGCCACCTCTTGACGTAGAGTCATAACCTCCTCCTTTAAAGCAGCGGCCTCTTCCTGCAGGACAGCTTGTAGAGAGTTCTTCTTGTGTTCTGCCATCTGTGTCTCTGCAAGCAGTAAAGGTGAAGGTGAAAGGGAAAGCAAGACCAAAGGACAGAGAAAATGTAGTATCTGTCTGCCTGCAGTTTCCAGGCCCACAAGGACTTTCAAAGCAGACATAAATCAAGGAAAGTTCAGTCAGAGAAAAGAAGAATTAATGTGGCAAGGTTCAAAAGAATGTGAAAACGTGTTTGCTCTTCTGCTTGGTGAAAGGCCAGAGCTAAGAGCATGGCAGCACATCACCCACAGCGTCAGATGCAGGTAGAACTGACATTGATGAAACAAGGAGAGAGACAGTAGATCAGAGTCAGATCTAGTGTCCTAAATGAAAAGGAAGAAGCAGCAAAAATGAAGGCTGACTGGGACACAGTTAATTGGCTGGGAAGGCTGATGTTATAGAGAAGGACAGACATCAATGTTGTACTTGAAGTGTACAAACTAAACTGACAGGAACTAAAGATGGAAAGAACCAAGTGGGACAAGCAGGATCCATCCAGTGATAGAATTTAAAGTCTACAAGCTGTTACCATATGTAGTAAGAACTATAGATGTTCCAGAAAAAGTGATGATCTGAGGCTTTGGAAACTGTCCTGTAAAGACTCTGAAAAATGATGGGAAATTCCATCTTAGAGAGGGAACAGGAAGAAATACTGATCAGGTGAAGGTACTACATGAGTAAGTGACAAGCTGTGGGGGAGGCACTGAGCAATGCCCACATTTCCCTGTTCCTGTAGTCTGAGACAAGGAAAACAAGACACGAGATGAAAAGCAAATCTCACGGGGAGAATGGGAAAACAAGGACAGAGAAAGGAGCAGTGATGCCTGTCCATATGTGACATAGAGAGCCCAATACCCTGGAGGCTCTGAGCGAGCCCGGAGATTAGAGGAAGAGGTCATAGCTACACATGAAAACAGTTTATAGATAAATGCAATGTTAATATGGTACCAAAGGCATAAGAAGGAAGTCGCCAGGGACGTAAAAACCTATGTTTGCTATGGCAGTGAGCTCAGACATGAGATCAGTATCAGCAAGAAAACAGCTAAGAAGGATGGACAAGCTCATACATATACACAGGAGCTCAACATTGAACTAATGCTCTGTGAATCTGCCATCTAAGAGGAAAATGAAGTCAATACAGACAAGGCTTTTAGCTGGTTGGTGCTTTTAAAGAGCATACAGAGAAGGATGCTGTGAGGCATCAAGCTGCACCTTCTTAGCAGTGACATGCAACCTGAAAGGCACCACGTCTGCACATTATCACCAGCAGCACATTGGACCTTTCTCCGTGAAAGGCCTTAACATGGTTCTATCGGTGAGTCTCATGCTTGTTGTTCTCCTTCTCTTCCCATCTCCAGGCACTGTGTGTTTCCCCTGCCTGGCATGAGAGATCCCTGCTGGTCAGACAATCAGCGGGTTGGAAAGGAGGATCTGTACCTTCCTGGCTTTGAGCCAACTGTTTCTGCAGCTCTTGATTGTGGGCACTGAAATGGTCCCTCTCAGCTTGCCTCTCGCTCAGCTCCAGCTCAAAGTCCTGGATCTTCTTCCTTGAATCACTCTGGAAGGGGCAAGAAGGGAAGTATCACCTCACAGAGCCACTGCTGGCAGGAGACAAAGATGTGCAAACACCAAGGCAGAAATAGCCACGGCAGGAGGGGACAACTGGACAGTAAATGTGATCATGAGTCTCCTTTCTCCCTATGGCAGCAAGCCAACCTGACCTATAAGAATTTACAGCTGTTCTGGCTTTGGCAATCTGCTTGTCAGTTCAGTCTAGCAGAGGTACAGGGCTTCTGGATGCAATGGACACACATTACCAGATCAAGCTGAGTCTGCTTCAGGTGCTGGCGCAGGTCTTGCAGGGCTGCTGCCACTCTGTCCACTGTGAGCTCTGCAGGGAGGTCCCTGGCCTGAGAAACAGTCAGATCCCAGATATGGTCCTGTTCTGAAGAGAGAAGCCATTCTGTTTCAAGATTGAATTGAACGGTCTCCAACACACAAGGCCTCTTTATTCACTGGAGAAGGTGGCAGTGCCTTTAAAACTTCCCAAGGCTTGAGTCAGCCTAAACTGAAAGGATGATTCTATCCTATCAGGATTGCAAAGAACCACACCTCCCTCCATCTGCTCTCCTTTAGGTGCCCTACAGACTTAACCCAGTCTCCCACGCTTGCCTGGACTCCAAGTGACTAAGTCTCTGCTGTCACAGATCATGTGGTGCAGAACCAAGTGCAGTTTGTCCAGCTGGGACTGGGCTTCACAGTGGGCACTGTTAGCCTGCTGACACTCCATGGCCAGTGCCTTTGCTCTGTTCTCTGTGCTACAAAGCCTCAGCTGCAGTTCAGACATCTCAGCCTCCAGCACGTGCAGAGAGTCCTTCAAGCACCGCTCGCCTGCTCGGGACTCCTCCAGATCCTGCAGCAGTTGCTTCTCCCGAGCTGCCAGGTCAGCCTCCTTCTCCAGCACTACCTCCTGCAGTGACTGTATCTGTAACACAGATGCACAGAGCCTCAGGGACAGTGCTGCTGCTGAGGCAGCAGAGAAGGAAGGAGAAGAAATGAAGGAAAAATTACTTCAAGCAAAAACCACATTAGAAACAGAAAGCTCAAAGCCAAGGACTCAAACAGAACAAAATCAGCTAGAAACAGGTATGTGGAGGCTAGGGGCCCAAAAAGAAGTTTCCCCATCCCAAAATGAATGGCCAAACTGTCTGGCTTTCATGCTTTCCAACCTCAGAAATGAAGCTCTCCTGTGTGTGGAGACGGGTTTGTGGGGAAGCGGGGTTGGTTAGAGGGTGAGGTGGCAAATCAAGCATCCCTGCATGGAGGGTGGGGCTTCCAGGGATGCTTGGGAGCAGAAGGGAAGACAATCAGCATCCTTTATGGTGCATCTCCAAAAGGCCAGATGATCTGGCTGCACCTTCCACAGACTGCAATAACCAGGTTGCTTAGTGCCCAATAAAGGTAGAAACACCATCTGGGGACATCATTTGTAATAGAGATCCTGGGAAGCTCCAAAGGAGTCTTCCATTTCTCCTCAGAGGGTTAATGGCTCAACGTCTCTGGGCAGAATACAGGAGCGTATGTTGTTGGGAGGGAAAATGAACTGGGGCCTACAAACTGTCCCTGGAGAAGGGGATGCTAGTGCCCACGCCACCTGGTTGTTGAGCTCTTTTATTTCTCTTCTGTGGTCTGTATGGAGCTGCTGGGCCTGGTGAACGGCAGAGAGAAGCTGAGACACTTCGTTATGCTGGGCAAAGTTCTTTTCTTCCAGGGTTTTGAGGCTCAGCTCCTTCTCTTCCAGAGACAGGGTCAGCCTGAAAGAGAGAGCATGCAACCCATTACTGTATAGTAAAACGTTTAATAAACTCTTAGGACTTCCACCACCACGGGGAAAATTGCTTTGTCTGAGGTTTGTCTACACAACCAGGCTGCTTGTTCAGCACTCCTGTTTCTTGTGTGCCTCACAGGGGAATCCAGCTCAGTTCAAAATCATGGTTTTAAGATGGCTTCTGCCAACCAAAGGTGTCAGGGTGGAGGACTGATACAGATCCCCAATATTTAAAGTTTACTGGACCCAAGGTGGAACTGATGGATCTATCTAGCTCATTGTACTGCAGCTTTCCTGCCTCCTTTGGTGTGTTTCAGGTTTGAAACACCTGAAAGTTTCATTTACATTATTAACACGCTGATTTAACAAAACACCTTTTAAGGAAAGGACTACTCCAAAAGCCACTGTCTTCAGAAAAACTGTCACTGAAGGATTAAAAGAAATGAAAATGAAAGACATCAAGAGAATGAGACATCTGCATGGGGAGTTCAGAGCTCTGCTTTGCCAGAAATGCTGCCACAGCCCCTTTTATATGCAAAGATCTGGAAGAGGGAATCCATTAAACAGACTGGAGAGTCTCACAGGCTTTCACTTACCTGGCTTTTTCGCTCTCTAGGACCTTCAGCGAGGCCTCAAATTCTGTGTTGTGACGCTCTACTTCTTCCCATCGACTCCTCTCCCCCTCCAAGGACCGCAGACACATCTGCAGCTCCTTGTTCTGATGTTCTACCTCCTCCCATTGACTCCTCTTCTCCTCCAGGACCTTCTGGAGGTGCGCAACCTCCAGCACCTTCTGTCTTGACAGTTCCTGTGCCTCACTCAGATCTTGTTGAGCTTTGCGGCCAATCTCTTGCTGGGACTCTTCAGAGGCTGCCAGCTGAGATGTCAACTCCTCCACCTCAAGTAAAACATAACAAAGCAGTCAAAGACTACAGCTTGTCCCAGGCAGCCGTATCACATAGTGTGAGCAAAAGGAAAGAACAACTGGAAATTTCACCCTAGCATGAAAATACTGGATCCACACTGGAGAGAGGCAACTTGCTTAAAAATCTGAGTGGGTCATCATGTTCAACTGAAAAAGCACCTTAAAAAACAAGGCTAGCAGCAACAGGCCAGCAGAAATCCGTTCTGATGATGGATTCGTTCTAGCAAACAGGCCAAAGGACTAGCTCATCTGTCCAGAGCAGCAGCTGAGATTCAGCTGCCAGTAAGTCTCCTTTCAGACCAGTGGAGATGGAGACCACAGGATGATGGCAGCCCGAGGGACTACCCCATCAGCCTGCTGTTTGCAACAGAAAGGCAAGATGGAGACCAACCAGAGACCACCTATTTCATGACTGGAGTAGCTATTGCTGTTTCAGTCACCTGTTTCTGTAGAGCATCTCTCTGCTGAAGAAGGACATTCGCTTCCTCTTTGATGGTTTTAATTTCTTCTTTGTGCTGTTTCTCCACTGCCTTGATCTTACTCTGAGCTTCCTGCAGCTCTGCTTGCAGCTTTTCTGTGATGTTCTGTAAGCACAAATGGAGAGCAAGTTATTGGGACTGGCTATCAGGTTCAGCTTCCTCCTCAGTAAAGGGACCAGCAGCCTGATAATCTAGTCACAAGACAGGCCATGAACTTAAGCACCAGGAATAAGGTCTGTTACAGATGCTTCAAGCCCAAATTTAGCACCTCTGTTGACCACATGAAAGGACAGAAATGGAACAAAGCTTCTGTGACAGCAGTTGCCAGCAAGGTCAGGAGTCACCTTCATGGTAGACAGGAGTCTGGTAAGATCCTACCCCCTTGCTGCAACCCTCTGCTGAACTCATCTTAGGCCCACACTGAATCTGAGCCTGCATTTACTGTCCCACCATAGGCCTGTGGGTCTCGACATGTCTTCAAGTACAAGCCATTGGCTCTGCTACCTGGCCTAGCAACATGTGGCTTATGACAGATGCCATTTCACACCCTCAGGCTATTATTAATCTAAAGCCAGCCCACAAAGCTTGCTGGAAGAATTCAGAACCATATTGGTCCTTACCAGGTCTTGCAGGAGCTTGTTTATTTCCACTTCATGATCACTTTGACACAGTTTGAGAGTACTGTCATACTGTTGCTCTGTCTGCAGGAGCTGTTGCGTCATGTCTTCCCGTTCCTGCCTCATCAGAGATCTCTCTGTTTCCAGCTCCCATTGAAGGCACTTCACTTCCCCTGCAAACACAAAGGGCAACATTCAGAGTCTACAAAGAAATGGTTCTGACTTTACTGAATGCGAATTTCAGTGTAGGAGGGATCTCCCTCCAGCTCCTTCACTCCTCAGAAGCACTGCAGGGAGCTGTTCTTATACCACTTTGGGCAGAAGGGTCACCAGGAGCCAAGCACATGAAGCTCTCACCTTGTATCACCTCCTTGGCCTGCGTGACTGCGTGTAGCTGCATTTCCAGCTGACTCCTGGAAATTTCCACCTGAGATAAGCGCTGCTGAGCCTCAAACAAGCTGGATTCCAGGGTGTCCTTCACTGATCTGCAAGTTATGAATACAAAGAGAAATGAGTTTCTTGCTCCTGACACCCACAAGGAGTTACTCCAGTAAGAAACCATTCAAGATCCCTACCCCCAAGTATGGAAAATGGGTTGCATGGAAAGTTGTATTCAGGGAGCATATTTATACCATTTAAAATAGCAATGCAGGCCCCTCTGAGGGAACGTCCAGACCTTCCTTGTGACCTACAATACACAGTAAGACCATTTGAACTGGATCTCAATAGTCAAATCTTAAATTGTTCTTGTCTGATCTATGACACATGGGTAGCTCTGCCCCCTAAGTCTGTGCCAGCAAGCAAAAGCCCAGCCTCTCCTCACAGCCTTTACAAGTAGCTGTGCAGGGGGACAGAACAAGAATTTCCCTGGCTGATTCATGACATTTTAGTGGAGTTCATAATCTGGCTCTAGGTAGGTAATTTTCCAGCTTCCCCCTGTTTAAAAGGGACTAAAGAAATAAATCAGATGATACAGTAAAATCTCATGCTTGCAGCAGCATTTGTAACAAATCTGAACTAGATTTTGTCTGAACAAATACTACCTGGAAGAGACAGCTATCCTTCAGTTTAAACTGCTGGAAGTTCAAGGGAAAACTTGCTACTTTTCTCTAAGCATTGCTAACCATGCAGGCAATAGCCCAAACAGCTTGGCACTCTTTTAAAGAGAAGCTTTGATACAAATTGTGGTATACTTTTTTTTCCATTTTGCTCAAGATTCTTCCATTTTCTGTCCATGGAAGGTGAAAACACCCGAGAAGCACACAGGATGCAATGAATCCTTGAGTAATGATTCCCACCTCTATAATTACAGACCTTTGATAACATCCTGCCTAGGGTCTCCTCCCTGCCTTTACCTGGACTCTTCCAGCTGCTCTGAAAGGCCTTGTCTGTCCCTCTCCACTGCTGCCAGTCGCACCTCTAGGGCAGCCTTCTCATGTACCAGCAATTCCTTCTCTTTGGATGCTTTGGCCAGCGCGTGCTCTTGGCGAGAGGACTCCTGGCGCAGCTGCTCCAGGTCACCTCTGGACAACTCTTGCTGGTGGTAAACCTGAAACAGGACAAGATATAGTGAGAGTTGTATGCAGAGCCACCCAGTGCCAGTTCCGAATGAGCCAGAGGACAAAGAACTCCTGTACTGTGGCCTGAAAGCTTCCGAGCATCACCTGCACGCTGCACTAATACCTTGGGCTGCAAAAAGGAAAGGGCGAAAAGGCACTGTTAACTTGTAAGTGATAAGTAAGGCCATACTGGGTGGCCTGGGATCAGACCAGACAGCTCCTTCAGGGCAAACATACATACTGTATTTCGTGCAAAACCATTGCATCTTCCTGAACTGCCACCCTGCAAACTAAAATCCTATCAGAATCTATTCCCATGCCGGGAAGTTTCAGGAGAGGTTGAGCAAAAGCAACTGCTCAGAACATCCAGTCTAAACCTCGTCCAGAATAACTTGAGGCTGTTTCCTCTTGTCCTAGCATTTGTCACTTGGGAGAAGAGACTGACCCCACCTCACTACAGTCACCTTTCAGGTAACTGTAGGGAGCGAGGTCTTCCCTGAGCCTCCTTTTCTCCAGGCTAAACAACCCCAGTTCCCTCAACTGCTCCTCATCACACTTGTGCTCCAGACCCTTTACCAGCTTTGTTGTTCTTCTTTGGACACACTCCAGCATCTTAGTGTCTCTCTTGTAGTGAGGGGCCAAGAACATACATGGGATTCGATGTGCAGGTTCACCAGTACCCAGTACAGAGGGATGAATGATCACCTCCCTCATCCTGCTGGCCATGCTATTTTTGATAACAGGCTAGGATGCTCTTGGCCTTCTTGGCTACCTGGGCACAAGCTGGCTCATGTTCACCTGGCTGTTGACTAACATCCCTCCCAGGTCCTTTTGCCCAGGCAGCTTTCCAGGCACAAAGCTGCGTGTATGTCTTAAAATACAATTTCAGCAGTTTCAAGATGTCATTCCCATTCTTAGCAGCACAAACCAGCAGGCATTGACTCGCAGCTTTGTCCTGCTCTCTAGGCTCAAAGAAATGGAGTTTTGAAAGCAGCAGATTTCATAATAAAAAGCATAAACAGAAACATGCAGCCTTGGGTTTTGCTTCAGAAAAGGGACTCAGAGCTACACACTTTGTTCCTTTTGACACATATAAGAGTAGGAGCCGCACTCGGATTCATGGACAACACAATCATCTTGCAGCTTATCAAAAGCCAAAAAAGAGGTCAACACAGGCAGGTGGATTGAAAGAATCCACAGAAGCAGAGGACAACACAGAGAATTGCAGAACAGCTCTGCAAGCCACCAATATGTTTCCAACAAGAAGAAACCAAAAGCCTTGTGATCTCCAGCACTACCAAGGGTCTCCTTGACAAAAGCATTACAGAATCCAACAGATACAGCTACACTGAGCCAAGCAGTCAAAAGCCCACCCAGAAAGCAACAGGTTTTTGGTCTCACCTGACTGAGTTTCTCTTGGGTTTCTGTCTTCTCCTTTGCCAGGGTCCTCAGCTCTATCCGCAGCCCCTCCTGTTGCTCCTCTGCTTTCTTCAGCAACTGCTCCAGATGGGCTTTCTCTGTGCTGAGCTCTTCAGTTGTTTTTTCACACAAGCTCAGCTTATCCTGGCCAGAGATCTTTGCTCTCTCCATCTCATCCACTTTCACTGACAGAGCTTCATTCTCTTGCTCCAGCTACAATCACAGAGGCACAGAGGAAATAAAGTACAGGAACATTTACTCTGTAGGAGGTTTGGCTTGAACACATGCAGGAACATTTCCATATTCTGTCAGTCTCACTGTTGAAAGACAAGAAGCCTGAGAAGCAGCAGCAACTACAAACTCCTGGCAAGATCTCTGGCAACTCTGCTCACCTGCAGCACAAGTTGGTTCAACTGCACTTTATCCAATGCAAGAGCTTCATTGATACTGCTCATCTTCACTGCTGCAACACGTAGATCAGCTGTTTCAGCACTCAGCTTATTCTGAGCCCCTGACAACTCTGCCACTGACTGCTCTGCCTGAAGGGAAAAAAGAACATGACAACAAAGGCAGGAAAATCCCTGACTTCCAGCAGCAGCTCCAGATCCCCTTTTAGATCTCTGATGTACTCCAGTTCAGCACTCCCAATAAGCACTACCCCAGAGAGCCCGTATGGTGTGATCACCATTTTCCAAGTGGGGAGGACAACATTTTCCCTGTCTTCTACTGCCAGAAACAGCATCTGTGATGGTTTTGCTGTCACAACTCCCTCTCCCACAAGTGCTACCTAGGAATAAGGTGATCATACCTTCTCCAGTGCTACGGTAAGCTCATGTTTCTCCTGCTTCAGCAGATCCCTCTGAAGGTGCAATTCCTCCAGTGTCTCTCTTGCAATTAACAACTCACTCTGTAACAATGAATTTTTTCCTTCAACTGCAGCTAAGTCCTTCAGTCTATGACAAGGGGAAAGACAAACAAGTTTATAATGTAAAATACATTCTCATTTCCAAAACCCAGATACGTACCATGCCCAGGACATGGCAGTATGAATGACTCCTAACAGCTTTCTGCGTACACCTAAGGAATGCTGGAATTTCCTGACTAGAGCTGCATTGCTCTTTGTCACTGATGGAGGTGAACCATTTGCCATTGAGAAAGTAAAACAAGCTTCCAGAAATCACAGAACATTTCCAAAAAGTTCAGTTCAACTGAACAGCTTCCTGCCTGCTCATTCTTGCTTTCTTTTTTGAGGTATTGGCTACAACTTTCCCAAGTTCTTTGCCTACAACTTCCCAAAGTTCTTTGGGCAAGACAGACTTTTAAGTCAGATTCGTAGTCACAGAATCCTAGAATACTTAGGGTTGGAAAGGACCTTGAGATCATCCAGTTCCAACCCCCCTGCCATGGGACACCTCCCACTAAACCATGTCACCCAAGGCTCTGTCCAGCCTGGCCTTGAACACCACCAGGGATGGAGCATTCACAGCTTCCCTGAGCAGCCCATTCCAGTGCCTCACCACCCTCACAATAAAGATTTTATTCCTTATATCCAATCTAAACTTCCCCTGTTTAAGTTTGAATCCGTTACCCCTTCCCTAGTCCCACAATTACTCTTGCCTTCAGCAGCGAAACAATGAAAGAGCCTGCAATCTATGTGGTGAAGAGGTGTGTGTGAATTCCCAATCCAATAATCATAGCGTCACAGGATGATTCAGGCTGGCAGGGACCCCAGGAGCCCTCTAGCCCAAGCTTGAGCTCAAAACAGCTGGGGTCAGCTAGGGGATCAGTCCAGGCTGCTCAGGCTTTATTCAGTTTGGTCTTCCAAATTTCCAGGGATGAAATCTACACAACCTCTCTAAGCAACCTGTTCTGCTGCACAACTGCCTTCATGGTTCCAGTTTTTGTTCTCCTTAAATCCAGCTTGAACCTCTCTTGTCCCAGCTTGTGCCTGTCACCAGCTATCCAAGTCAGGTTTGGAATGATGTTTTTAAAGGGTCATAAAGGACGCACAAGGAGGCAGCCAGACCTGCCCATGTGCTCCCTTCCCATTTCTGCGCTACAAATGATGAGCACACAAAATTTATTATCCTTATGTGGGCCTCCTAAAGCCCAGCAGTGCCCACCCCTGCCCAGAGAAAGCTTTAACACTCACAGGAGCTCCTTGTCATGATGTGCTCTCTCCAGTGCCTGCTGCCGCTCCACCTTTTCCCCCTGGGCTGAATCTTCCTTCAGCTGCAGTTCAGTGTTACTCTGACGCAGACGTGAGGCTTCTTGCTCTGTTACCTCAAGCTGTTGCTGTAACTCTTCCCTGGTTTTCTCGAGGTTTGCACAGTCACTGCAGAGACAAGGTTCAGTTAGAACAAAGTGGCCTGAAAGTCACAGATCCCGTTTTCATCATTCCAGGATGGAAGGAGCACGGTAAGGAGGAACTTGCTCTTTCCCTCACAAGGTAACTGAAGAGGGAAAGAGAAAGGAAGGCTTTTGCTTTCATGCAGTGGCTAGGAAAGGGCACCCAAAGAACAAGAACTTAGAGAAGTAGCACGTCAAGAGGCAGGCATACACACAGCAGGGCAGGCAAGTTCTTTGCCCAAAACACCTATGAACTCCCAAAACTGGAAGCAGATTGCCTGTAGAACACAAGAGGAGGAGGAAACACTCACGTTCTGAGTGCTTCTACCAGAGACTGGAGGTGTTGCTGGTGGCTGCTGGACGTCTTGCATTCCTCCTCCACTTGCTCAATCCTTTGCTGCAGCCTCCTGCACTTCCCTTCCTGCTCTCTGTGCTGGTGCAGCAGGTTATTGATAGCGTCCTGCCTGGCAGAAAGCTCTTCTTTTAGGGCCTGTGAAGGATGGGGAGGCAAAGAGCACAAACAAGCAATAAGGAACAGGGAAGATGGCTCCAGACAGATGAGAAAAGCAGCAAGCAGAGAGACAGCTCACCTGAAGGCAAAAATCTATGATAAGGGTTGGAGATCAAGGAGAGAAAAGCAGCAGAGCACAGAGGTGGTGGGACTGGCAAGACAGCACAGGACCAAGAGTGGGAAGGCTAGAAAGAAACCAGCTAAACTGGCTAAGCAAAGGAAAAGGTTTCAAGCTAACTGAGGCATTAGCAGTTGAGCCTGCAGCCAGCAGTGAAGACAAGCAGAAAGTCTCACCTGTGTTGCCCCTCGCCTCCTTGCCAGTGCTTCCTGCACCAACACAAAGGCATGCTCTGCATCAGTGAAGCTCAGAGAAGAGAGGATGTTGCTAGACTCGATGTGCTGGGAACTGTCAGTGGAGGCAATGCTGACCATGCTGTCACTGTCATCTAACACCACCTGAAAGCCCACATCAAGCTGTTATTCTTTTTCATTCTACTTGCTTTTCTTTATCTAGTTCTCTTTTTTCCCCCACTTCATCATAGAGCCATTCAAAACTCAGTTCTCTCATTCCCTCAGTCCACAAAGAAGTTTTGCCCCTATGCCTACAAACACACCAGGGATTTCTGAATACAGCTACTATAAACAAGAAGAGACAAGTGTGAAGTGGCTGGAGGCTGCCTGAGCACCCATTTTCTTGACGCTTTCAAGAACGATTTTGGTCTCCTTCAGTTTCTTAGAGCCACAAGCACCAGATGGACACTGGAAATAGCAAGGAAAGGAAACACTGGTGCTGCCCAGGGAAGAAGGAAGCTGATGAACACCGGAAAATAGCAGTGAAAAAGCTAACATTTAGAATTACTCAGAGCAGTAGTACAAAAGGATAAATACAACTGTGTAAGGGGAACAAACTGACTTTGTGAGAGGCTACCTAAGAGATCTGATATTAAACCTCCCCCCACAGAGCGAAGTTTAGGACTAAGTTAAGGTTACCCCTAAACAGTTAGATGAGTTGCAAATCTGGGGACATAATAATGGTCAATGAATGTAGAGTGAGGGAGCAGAGCTGGCCAGTGCACCAATTGAGTCAGTGACCGTTTATAAAAGTCTGAGGAACAACAGAGTCATTGCTCAAGGAAGGTGGGGGAAGCATCCAAGAAAAACTGGAGGAATACAAATGTCAAGTAGAGAACTCAGAAAGCACAGTCCAAGAGAGACTTTAGCAGGACGGTGAAGGCAAAGGTACTGAAACTTCCAGCCAACACAGCCTGAAGTGTCACAGGACAACTTGGGAGTTCAAAACAGGTTTTATGTCAGAAAACTGGTATAAAAATGAAACAATCAGTAGCAGTTTACACAGTTTACAACACAGATCTAGTCCCTAGGCTTGTCTGTTGCCTTCCTCAAGTACTTTCAAATCAAATTTACAGGAATGCGGTCTCAACTCCGGACTTACCTCAGTTATAGCTTTGATCAGCTTCTGGAGCGAAAGATTCTCTTCTTCAGCACTTTTAGCCAATGAAGCTTCATATTCTTTCTCTAACCGACTTGCTTCCTAAGAACACAAATAAGGAAAGAGTGAGCAGGGAAGAGCTGCTCCCCTCTGTAGCATTCCCATCCTCAGTAGCATTGTCATACTGACAAGCCTCAGCCTGAGTGATTCCAATATAGTCCTTCCCACATCTATTCAGTTTCTTCTCTGCTAAAACCAAGAAGAGAAAGCCCAACAGCTAGTTTTTATAGGCTGCTATCCAACTGTCAGTTCCAAGGAACTTCGATCCCCCGGAGGTTTAAATCACAGACAGAATAGCACCGGTGGTACCTCCCTGAGGAAGATACTTGCCTTGTGTGCAGCTCCCCTGCCACTGCCTGCACCTGACTCCACTTGTGCCATGACACAAGGAATATTTGGGCAATGTGCCTCATGTTCCCACACAGTCAGCATCTTTGCCACTTTCTCTTGAGGAAGCCACTCCTCCTTGCTAAGACTGAAGAGCAAACACTGGGCTATCTCCCAAACAGAAGTAAAACATACTAGTAACTCCACAGTGTTGTTCAGTGTTTTCATGGTCTTCTCCTTCTCCTCGTTTTCCTTCTGAGAAAGTACAAGCAAGGCTGAGAGCTCCACCACCCTGAGAAGAGAAGGTCCATGTGCCATTCCAAAAGCATTGCCCACCATCCCCTGTTAAAGAGCTAAGCAGCTCCCAGAAGCATAGCAGAGAAAGGTCCAGCCAGAAAACACCACATCTCTATAGGTAAACATGCAAAACGGTTGCAAAATGGCACTTCTGGCTCCAAAGGCCTTCTGTACTGACAGCTCCTTGCAAGACTGAGCACAGAGGTGCTACACAGCTTATGATGACCCTGGGCAAATTCCTCCCAACTCCTTCAGCAGAGCCCTGGGTAGCAAAAGGGCTGTACAAGAGACAGCGCTCTCTTTACACTAGTCTCAATTTCTCACCAAGAATCAGTTAACAGCAGAAACATTGTCATATACAATCTCTTTCCCAGTCTTGTCCTACTCAGAAGAGCTGCTTCTGTCAGCCAGGTGTTTATTTCTATCCTTCGAAGGCAATAGTTTGACAAGGGACAGAAATAAGGCTGTGCAGAATGGCTGTGTTTTAAATGTGAACACAGCCCATCCATGAATCCAAGAAGCAGCCACAAAAGATAATGCTGTCAATAAAAAAGGTGAAAACACCTTTACCTGTCTTGAAGCTCCTTCTTCTCCAGGTCCCCCTTAACTTGTAAGCACACCACTTCCTGAGTCTTCTGGTTTATTTTCTGTCCTGCTTGCTGCTGTGCCTCATCCTTCAGGACTGGTCTACCCAGAGTGACGGACTCCCAGAGCTGTATGCCAGGGTTTAGATGGGAGCAGTTTACAAGGATAGCTCCAGAAAGCCTCATCTGCTCTGCCTTCAGCTCTGTAAGATCTCTGAGGAAGAACAGAGAGCAAGCTAATGTTCATGCCACCATCTTTATGAGCTGACTCACTTCTGGAAGCGTGTAACTGTGCAATAGTAAAAGCTGGCAGGAAAGAGGACATCTTTGCTGGGGACAAATCATTCATCTGCCACTTTGGGACCAGGACACCTCTTGACAGTTGATCAATGACTACAAGACAGCTGAGGAATGAGTCCATTTTCTCCTCAGAGGTAAGAAGGCTTCAAGCACCTCAAATTACTCTTACTAATTGTTTTACACCTAGATGATTAAACAACCTATTAGCATCAACACTTGGGATGGCTAAGAGGCTCACGACAACATCTACACAACAAACATTTCGGAAGGTGGTGTAAGAACAAGCCTAAAATGTTATTAACAAAAGAAGTACAAATAATACAAGAATTAACTAGTAGGTCAGGCATACTCTACACACTAAGGAAGGCTTGCAATCAAATGAGATAAATGGCTGACAGTAACACAGAGTCTGAAATTGCATGCTGACACCACAACAATGTACTATTACAGCTACACTGGTTTTGTTTGTGCAGAAGGCAACGGTGAGAAAGGAACTTCACAGAGCCAAAGAACAAGAAAACAATCACAGAAAGAGGTATCAAACTAAGCAAAATACATTGAAGAACTGCCTCTGCACTGCTTATAGCCTGAGCCCCTCAGTTTTATCTGAAAACCAGCATCAAACAAAATGATTCTGAACATAGCCTAAAGCGTAGTCCTTCAGACTGCCAAAGGAGAAAGCCTATCTTTAGCTGCAACTAATATAACATGGAGGTGTAAAGGGAAGCTGCCTTTTTCCTGCAAGAGCTCCAGCCTCAGCTTCCACTCACCGGTCAGTGGCAGTCTTCATCGCCAGGAAGTGCCAGCGGAAGGTCACCACCTCACGCCACAGGCTGAGGAGACGGTTATGTTCACCCCTTACGTAGTTGTCATAAAGCTAAACATGCAGAGATAAAAAGAAATGCCAGTTTAGCCTTCACTGCTGCTGTACAAGCCTTTCAGATATGAGAGGGTTCAGGTAACTGTTTTCACCAGGCATCCTTTAGTAACTATTGCAACTGGGGCATCAAGGACTAAAAAGGCACCACATAAGCACCCTCAGTAGACCTGAGATCTGACTTCAAAGAAGAGAATATCCACACTTCTGCAAGAATGGCTATCAGCAAAGCAAACTGATCTTGGTTCTTCACCTCACGTTGCAGAGGTGTCTAGAGTCTTGGTGGCGGAAGACAAAAATAAGTCCCTCCAAGAGGAGTGTCAACAGGCTATGGGCAAGGGAGGCCTATCCTGTTCTTCTGTTGGCTACTCTGACTCAGAAAACACACAGACCTCTCCAGTCTCCACTGCTGTAGGCAGAGATTTAGGAGCTACTAAAAAGAAGAGCATTCCCATGTGACTGTCCTCCAGTGCCCAGCAACAGCAAATGTTTTCCTTCAAGAGCAAGCAGCATGGTCCATTAACACAATGCCCTCACACCCATCTTCTGCTTGTCAACACTAATACATCCTCAGTGTAGCCACAGCTTTCATACAGCAAGCTCTCTACGCCAGCAACAAAATGCATTCCCATTCCACCCTGGCATCATGTCTGACATTCCCGTAGCCCGACCTTACCTCACGTTCATGGCGCCATTCACTCTCCTTCAATTCCAGCTCCTCCCGCGCCCTCATCCAATCTGCCATCAGTTTTCCAACATCTTCTTTGAGGGCTGAATTAACCTCATTCGCTTTATCGAGGTGCTCCCGCAGGAAAGCATTCACTTCTGCCAGATTCTCACGCCTGGGAAAGGGAGAAACAACAGTGAAGTCACTGAACAACTGCTATCCACAAGCAGCATCGCCATATATTTCCTACTCCCTCAGAACTGACTTTGTTTTCAAACAGAGGAAGAAAACGTGCTTCCTAGGGTTAGCTAAGAGCTCTCTGTGATAGCAAACTCATTTGCTTTGAGTCTTCATAGTTGCAGATTTCCATCTACAATTTTGCTTCCCCCTTCCTCTTCCACTTTGATCATGCCGGCACCTCATGTCTTGCCTCCCCTTTGTGCTGTCTGGTCGCTGCATGCACCACCTTTCTCTAGCATTGTCAGTTACTGAACCACAGAGTCATTTAGGCTGGAAAAGGACCTTTAGAGGTCACCTGAAATAACCTCCCTGCTCAAAACAGAGCCATTCAGAACACAACGCTACAAAAGCGCCATAGAAAGACATTGAGGACCTGTCTCCCTTTCAAGCGGGGGAGACCGGGCAGTACCAATAGCTAGGTATTCCCTCACTTCCAGGAGCATTCAGGATACCAAGTATGAGGGAACACTTCTTTCTTTTACCTTTGATGCTCCTCTTCCAACTCAAGTAGTGCTTTCTCCAGGCTCTGGTCATCTTCTTCACACCTGCCTGGAAGGGACTCCTTCAGAAGAAAGGAAATATTAAATGCTTAGTTACATTCTTGTGTTCCCTTCACTACTGTTAGCACCCATCGCTTTCCTCTCCATATGTTTGGTATCCCAGCAAGCTTGTGGCTTCTTCCAGGCATACCAGTGCCAGGACTATGGAGAGGAAGGGAGTTACTCAGTGAGTAGCTCTCCTCAGGCTCCCATGGTTGCACTCTCACAGCTAGGTAACCTCAGCTCATGACCTTGAGTGCTCACTTAAGACTTGGAGCCTGGGAATACTCTCCTACCCTTCATTTTCCAGGTTTACTCTAGCTGAGCAAGCACAGAGACAGCTCTGTATGCTGAATGCCAGCACTCTCACCTTCCAAAATGCTATGCTTCCACCAATTCTTTTTCAGAGACAGACAGAGAATGAATGTAACAGGCAGTGTAGCCTGAACCTAAAATCCTTCTTGACAGGGTTTTCTGGACTGCATTTCCAAGACTACTGCCTGCTCTAAGAATGGCAACTGGACAAAACACCAACGGGCAAACTTAGAGCGCTTCTTCAAACCAGTCTTGTTTTCCCCTGTCATTGCTTTGGGGAGCTTTCTGTCTGCATTAACAAATGCTACATATACTGCCTTTAGTTGGCAACCTACACACTCACCCCTCCTGCTTCCAGCTGCTGTTCCAATTCTTGACACCGAGTCCGGTACTTGAGTACCTGGATGGATACATGGAATGAAGGTGAGCAAATGCAGGTTGTAACTCGGCTCCTCCTGCAGTAGCTTTTCTCTTAAGTCTTTACAGCCCAAGCACAGTACATTTCACAGCGCTGTGGATACAGCCAACAAGCCATGATATAGGGAAGCTTCACTTTATCTCGTAGTAAAGGCATTGAGACAGGGTTTCTTTCCCACACGGCGCTTGCTGCTCACCCTAAGATAGCAGTGGCAAGCCGAACGATGAAACTGACTTAGCCCTGCCTGCCCTATGGCCACCATGGACCCCAAACAGGCACGGCCCGACCTCCGCCCGGCTCCGGCCGCCTCCTCGCCGCCAGCACTCCCGCGCCCCACGCGAGCCCGGGGCCGTTCAAAGCCGCCCCTCGCTGGCTCAACTGCTCCCGCGGGGGCAGCGCGGCCACAGGAAGGCGTTTGTGAGCCCGGCATCTTTATTCGAGCCCGGCCAAGACCGAGCGAGCGGCTGCGGGAGGCGGCAGCAGCAGCGCGGGCCGGGCCGGTACCCAGGCCTTCCCCCCGAGCTCCGGGCTCGGCGCCATCCCGCCCGCGGCAGCGCCGGGGAGGGCCCGCGTTCGCCGCCCGCACTGCAACGCACGGCCCGTCCCGGGCAGCTCTCCCCAGCCCCGCCGCTCACCTTGGCCTGCAGCTGCCGCACCAGCACCTCTTGCCGGCGCTGCGCCTCCTCCGAGCTCCGCAGCCGGAGCCACAGAACCTCCTGACCCCGCGCCTCCAACCCGGGCTCCGCCGCCATGGCCCGCTCGGAGCCGGGCCGGCTGCCTGCAAGACTCCGCCCCGCTGCGGCGTCCGGCCCCGAGCCCGCCCCGCGCCCAGCCCCCGGCCGCCGCCTGGTACCTGCCCACCGGGGCAGATGCGGTGCTGCCGGCGCGGGGAGGACTGCTTCTGGTGCGGCTTTTGCGCCAGAAAGATCGAGAATTACCCCAGAAGAAACTATGTAATTATCTTCCAGGGTTAGATATCTGCCGTGTGCTGGCAGAACCCCAGAATGGGCTGGCTTGAAGGGACCTTAAAGCTCACCCAGCTCCAACCCCTGCCACGGGCAGGGACACCTTCCACTAGAGCAGCTTGCTCCAAACCGCGCCCAACCTGGCCTTGAACACTGCCAGGGATGGGGCAGCCACAGCTTCTCTGGGCACCCTGTGCCAGCGCCTCAGCACCCTCACAGGGGAGAACTTGTGCCTTAGATGTAACCTAAATATCCCCTGTTTAACTTTTAACCCATTGCCCCTGGTCTTGTTGCTGCAGTCCCTGATGAAGAGTTGCTCTCCAGCATTCTTGTAGACCCCCTTCACATATTGGAGGCTGCTCTGAGGTCTCCAAACAGCTTCTCTTCTCCAGGCTGAACAGCCCCAATGTCCTCAGCCTTTGTGTGGGAGGTGCTCTAGCAAAGGCCAAAAGGCGCCAGAGGGGGAAGACAACATCCTCAGAAATGTGTCTCATCAGCAAGAAGTTGGCAATGAAACTAAGTTTAAAGGTATGCTGGAGTGGACTGCCTTCATGATAATGCTAAAAATGACACCCCATTGAAATAAGAGACCCCACAAACCATGTGTAGTAAAACAAGGCCATGTTGCGTCTTTAAACATAGGAGGTAAGACCTAATGACTGTGAAATACTGATCAAACGCTGTACTATCTAATAACTTGTGCGTATAAATATAATGAAAAGGCCGGCATGGGGTGTGTTCCGCTTGTGGAAACACACCACTGAGCACCCTGTGCAGAATCATAGAATCCTAGAATCCTAGAAGAGTTAGGGTTGGAAAGGACGTTACCATCATCCAGTTCCAACCCCTCTGCCATGGGCAGGGAAACCTCCCACTAAACCCTGCCACCGAAGGCTTCGTCCAACCTGGCATTGAACAATGCCAGGGATGGAGCATTCACAACTTCCCTGGGCAACCCATTCCAGGGCCTCAGCACCCTCACAGTAAAGACCTTCCTTAGATCCAATCCAAACTTCCCCTGTTTAAGTTTTAACCCATTACCCCTTGTCATATAAATACAGTCCTTAATGAAGAGTCCCTCTCCAGCATCCTCATAGGCCCCTTCAGATACTGGAAGGCTGCTCTGGGGTCTCCATGCAGCCTTCTCTTCTCCAGGATGAACAGCCCCAACTTTCTCAGCCTATCTTCATATGGGAGGTACTCCAGCCCCTGATCATCCTCGTGGTCTCCTCTGGGCTTGTTCCAACAGTTCCATTTCCTTTTTATGTTGAGGACTGTTGCAGAATGGCTCCAAGAGCAAGGCCATGGATCCTTAGAAGCCTTGTGCGAGCAAAGCAAGTGTAGGCCTCACAGGTAACCGGAAACCGGATGTGGGAGGAGAATGTAAAGGAAGCCGTGTAGAAGTAACCAATACTGTTGTGACTAGTAGGCGTGGCTAACACCACGCGGATATGAGCGAAGTGCGCCACAAATAAAGGAGAAGCTTGCTTGTCACCCATATTGGGTTGGCGTGTCTTGCTTCTCCTCACCGCTAACAAATGGCGCCCGAACAGGGATCAGGACTACAGGGTCCCGGTTAACGGGGACCCGGAATACAGGGCCCTGAGTGGCACCGGCGGCAGCGGCCGTGGAGCGTGGGCAGTGCTACTGCGGTGGCATGACTGACCCGGGTGCTTGGACTGACCGAAAGGAGTCCGCCGCTGGGGCGAACCAGATACTGCTGCATCGGGAGGACGATCCAGTCTTGGACGATCCAGAAGAGGACGATCCGGAAAAGACCGGCCACGAAAATGGACCGAGAGGTAGCCCCTGATTTATTACAGTGCGTTTTATAAAAGCGGGGAATTGAGCCTGAGACTCTAAAGCAGCTAGCAGGTCTAGTGGCTGTAGGGAAGGCTAAGGGATTTTTGTAGATCTTAATACAGTTTTTGAGGAGAGTGAGTGAGGAAATTTTAGTGATGAACTATTTGACTCAATGCTTAATGATGATAAAACGGCAAAGAAACTCGGTAAACCATGGAGAGAAGTAATAAATTGTATTAAAAGATACAAGGTGGAAAAGAGCAAGGCCATGCTGTAGCAACGGAGAAACTAGGAACAGACATCCCTGGTCGGTTGAAGCTGGGGGAAGATTACAGCTCGTTTCCCCCAACTCGCGGGCTGCTCCCTGTGCTTGGAGCACAAGGTTTTCCCCCCCCACCCCTTCTTTTTCACCCCCTCCTTCTTCATCAGAAGGTGCAGCGAAGGAGGTGCAACTCCCTGCTCCCCCACCACCCCAGTTCCGAAAGTAGGGACTTTGAAAAAGACAGAGAAAGTATATTAGAAGGGATACGCATGATGAATGTCAAGGAAGCTGAAAGGAAGAGGATGGCACCTCGGTGCCAGATCGATTGGGGCTCCATTTTGAAGCATGCAGTAGAAAATAGAGATTATGCGCTAGCGGGAGATTTGAAGGAACTGCGAGCCTTTCCAACCCACTATGCCCTAGAGTGGAAATTTTTAACTCAGTTACGGAGGAGCCAGGTCTGCAGATGGCCACATGCTGAAGGAGAGACATCTGACAAGAAAGTCATAGCTGCGAGCAACAGAGACCCTGAGTTCGGCCCAGGATCAGACCCCGAATCCCCTGAATCCGAACCAGATTTATATCCTCTGCTTCCAAACTCTGACTCTTCGTCTCCCGGATCAGTCTGCTCAGACTCACTGGCCTTGGAGACGCCCAACTGCAACAATTGATGAAAAGGCTTGAAGCCCTGGAGACTCGGATTGACACATCTCCATCAGCGCCTCCACCTTACCCTCCGTAAAAACCCTTCCTTAAGGCAAACAGGGGGAGGGGGTGGGAGAGGTAGCGGGGGGGGGGGACCACAAATCCTGCACTGTTGGCATGGGTTAATCAAAGAAGCGATCATTACTGGTGAATTTTCTGCAATGGGCCTCTCTGCATATCCTGTGTTTACTACACAGCAGGGGGCTAAAGGGTGGGAAGCTTTTGATCTCAAAATAGTTAAGGAGGCCTGACAAGCAGTGACCACGAATGGGTTAAAATCCTCTTATACTCAAGCTGTATATGTTATGATTTTTTCTTGCAATTGACAGGGGGAGCCCATACAGTTTCTCTGTGATACTCATGTACTAGAAGTTGGTAAATATAAGTATGTCCAGGTTTCTATCAACCCTTGGAGACCTTTGTAGATACTGCTGGCCACTTCTTCCAGCACAGGCTGTCCACCTGTGTCGGAATGAGTGTGCATTTTGGTCAGTATAAAAGCCCGAGCCTCATACGATGTGGGGGAGGCAGAGCCTCTGTGGGGACGCCTGCTAAGGTTGAGCCTGCCACCTCGCACTGCAGTGATGCTTCTCAGGCTGGTTTGCTATTAGTCTCCACAGGGTCCTTGTGCCACATTCTGTATATGGAACTGTAGAGGGAGTAATGATTGTCTGGATTTTGTGCTTCAAATATTGTAGTTGAGGACAGAGGACACCAGAACTGCACACAATACTCCAGGTGAGGTCTCACAAGAGCAGATTAGAGGGGCAGGATCACCTCCTTCGACATGCAGGTCATGCTCCTTTTGGTGCAGCCCAGGATACGGTCGGCGTTCTGGGCTGCAAGCGCACACTGATGGCCCATGTTCATTTTCTCATCCACCAGCACCCCCAAGTCCTTCTGCGCAGGGCTGCTCTCAATCTCTTCTCTGCCCAACCTGTAGCTGTGCCTGGGATTGCTCCGACCCAGGTGTAGGACCTTGCACTTGGCATGGTTAAACCTCATGAGGTTGGCATCAGCCCGCCTCACAAGCGTGTCGAGGTCCCTCTGGATGGCATTCCTTCCCTCCAGGGCATCAACCCAACCACACAGCTCGGTGTCATCGGCAAACTTGCTGAGGGCGCACTCAATCCCACTGTCCATGTCAGCGATGAAGATGTTGAACAAGACCGGTCCCAGCACCGATCCCTGAGGGACACCACTCGTTACTGGTCTCCAGCCGGACATTGAGCCATTGACCACAACTCTTTGTGTGCGGCCATCCAGCCAGTTCTTTGTCCACCCAGTGGTCCATCCATCAAATTGATGTCTCTCCAATTTAGAGACAAGGATGTTGTGTGGGACAGTGTTGAACGCTTTGCACAAGTCCAGGTAGATGACATCAACTGCTCTACCCCTGTCCATCCCTTCCGTAGCCCCATCATAGAAGGCCACCAAATTGGTCAGGCAGGATTTCCCCTTAGTGAAGCCATGCTGGCTGTCACCAAGCACCTTGTTGTTTTTCATGTGCCTTAGCATGCCTTCCAGGAGAATCTGCTCCAAGATTTTGCCAGGCACAGAGGTGAGACTGACTGGTCTGTAATTCCCTGGCTCATCCATTTTCCCCTTCTTGAAAACGGGGGTCATATTTCCCTTTTTCCAATCATTGGCAACTTCACCTGACCTCCATGATTTCTCAAATACGATGGCCAGAGGCTGAGCAACTTCATTTGCCAGCTCCTTCAGGACGCGCGGAAGGATTGCATCAGGTCCCATGGACTTGTGCGCGTTCAGGTTCTTGAGATGGTCTCGCACCTGATCCTCTCCTACAGCGGGCCTAGGGTCTTCGTTCTCACAGCCCCTGCGTCTGCCTTCCAGGACTTAGGGGGTGTGCTCAGAGAATTTGCCAGTGAAGACCGAGGCAAAGAAGTCATCAAGAACCTCAGCCTTCTCCAAATCCAGGGTAGCCAGTTCTCCCGAGAGCTTCCGGATGGGGCCTACATTCTCCCTAATCTGTTTTTTATTTGCTATCTACTTGTAGAATCCCTTCCTGTTGTCTTTAATACCTCTAGCT